AAACTCTTTCACAGGCAGGAGTCCAGATTAGACTACCGTCAATTTCAACTCTTCCACAGATAAAAGTCCGGTAGACTACCGTAAGAGTCGGAGAGACGGCCACCCCGTGTTAGCATTTTTTTATAGGGTATTTTAGCATATTTCTCCACAACTAGGAGGGTGCGAACACCAACCGATACCCCTCAGGAAAGCCCTCGACGAGATGTAAGTACCCTTTTCGGCAGTGGTACCCCCCTGGTCGTGGAGAAATACGGTATAAAAAAACTCTAACACGGGGGTGACACCTCCCTCGACAAAAACAAAACAAAACGCTGCCACGGCAGAGGGGCAGTTTTTTTTTCACGATTTTCACGTACCTGTCTTCCGAAGGAACATTTCTGACGATATGCTTGTGTCCCACTGAAGTATAGCTGAAAATGTCCTCGATCTCCGCCTTGTTCTTCCCAGCGTTCTCCGGAGATCCCAGCTCTTCCGAAAACTGTTTCCACGCCCACGTTTTGTATACAAGCCGGAGAACAAGTTGCGCAAGGGGGGGGGGCGGGGACAGGTTGGAGAAGATGGGATGGGGTGGGGATGTATGTATACCGCGTTGTACGCGGGGGCAGAGCAATGGCAACAGAAGAGGAGCAGATTGATATGCTAGTCGATACAATCTTAGATGGGGCGTGGTGTGGTGGATATCCAAGAAGTACAATACTGTCGTCGTCGTCCTTGTTGTTCTTGTTTTCGTTGCTGCTGCTGCTGTTGCTGCTGTTGTTCTCGTTGCTACGCCACTACTACTGCTGTAATACAATTGCGCTCCCAGCTCCCAGCACAATATATACCGTTCGTTCAGCCGCAGCAAAGCAAGTCGCGATCCTTATCCTCACCCTACGTTTTCCTTGTTCCTGCCCAACACAACCCAAAAATAGGTGTTGTCAGCGGACTACTGCAAGAGGCGGAGAGATGGCACCTCCCGCTAGACCGGCTTGCAAAGCTCCATTGCTCCAAAACCAAGTGGGTGCGGAAAGAGCCCGATACATGCGTCTACGGAAAGCCCTCGATGAGATGTTTCCACAAAAATTACATTGTTGGTGCTTGGCACAAGCTTGGTTATGGAGCAATCGAGCTTTGGAAGGGGGGTGCCGTCTCTCTGCTCCTCCTCTTACAGGTGATGCAATTTCGAGGGAAAAGTTGTCATGTTCCGTGTTGTCATCCCGGTCCGCTGAGGCCACAGACATGACAGCAGTGCTATACAGATCAGCAGGGCAGCAGTGCAGCAGACGCACAATTGCAATTACGAAGTAGAGCAGAAGCGCGTACAATTTACGGAAGTGCGTAGCAGACTCTTGTCGTATCGTCGCGACGTCGCACGCACCCACCAGAAAAGCCTGTCATATCTATACATACAATCGAGTATTTTTTGTCCCCCGGTGTCGGTGTGAGACCGATGTCACTGTGTTGTATAGCGGTGTGACGCTATAATAATCATGATGGACATGATGAACAAGGAATGACGGTGGAGTCATCCTACGTACGTACGCTGTAGACGGCAGGTGATCTCATCTCATCTCAATCTCTCTGCGTTGTCTGTGCGAAGCAGGTGTCGGGTTATCGGAGCGTTCTCCGAAAACCCCGGGCTTACGGCCCTCTCTCTGTGTGATTGTTCGTTGCACGCGCATTCATTCCCGTCCAGGGATTCTTATTCGTACAGACTCTTTTCTTCGTGCTGAGTATGGCCGCTGTTCGCCCTGCTGCTGCGCATCAACAGCCCGTGGTTCCTCGGGGGCGAGGCTACTCCCATGTCAGGAAGGAACGAAAAGCCACTTGTTCCAAACAAGATGGTTGTGACGGTACATGTACCCTTCCAGGTACTTCTTTTGTATCACCGCGTCCTCGTTTGGAGACGGCAGTTGTTTGCGCCAATCGTTGTTGCGCGATATGTGTAGTTTTAGTCCTACGTCTTCCTCCTGCTTCGAGAGAAGATTGTAACCATAGCAAAGGTGAAGCTGCACCAAGGTCTGGTTATCGTACGAATTTTTCATATTACAACAAAAAAAAGTTTTTAATAAACAGTGAAACAAAATCTTTGTCCGCAAATGTTTGAAAATATAAACATTTCGCAAAGATTTGGCGACCATAAACATGGGTCTAAGGTTATCGTTATCCTACAGTACGTGTGCATGCACACAGCAGGGCAAACCCTCGAGAGAAACTGCGAGAAAAATCTTGGAAAACGTTTTTGCTGTCTCCTGGTGACTTGCTACTGCCAATTTCCAACAGCAAATAATCTCGTCCCCATTTGTTTGCGTGTTTTAGGTGCTCTCACCTCCCTGAACATGTCCTGCATCCTCTTCCTATTCGTCTGAAAGGAGCCGCGGTTCTGCCAGAGATCCGAACTCGCTTGCTGCCGCCTTAGCAGTCTCCTAGGAGCAGGTGGTCCCCTCACTCCATTGTTAGCATGATGCGTATTCGGGTCCGTTTTCCCAGTGTTATCATGATGCGTATTCGGGTCCGCTTTCCCAGCGACCGTCTGTTCCTGCTGCTGCTGCTGCTGCTGCGAGGCTGCGTTCGAGCTAGCCTCAGCACTGCTGCTGCGGCTATCTCCCGAGCTTTCCAAGACCAGGTCGTCTAGCCGAGCGTACAGCTCGGCTGGTGTGGTCGTTGCCCTTGTCTCTGCGTCTTCCACTGGCACCTCGTCCTCGTTGGTGAATGCCATCTCTCCCCTCTCCTCTAACGATGTCGTCTAACGTCGTCTTGGTGACGTACTGCAACAGAGAGTTAAGGCAATTCAGGAGGACTTTTGAGTAGCAGCAACAGCAGGGCTCTCCTTGACCTGCTTCTCAGTTACTGCTGTAAGTGGCGCTGGAACACGCCAACCGTGCTTAAGTCCTGGATCCAGTCCCTCCCCCCCCCCCCCCCTAGC